TTGCGTTCCTCCAATGCTTTTAACTCTCTGTCCATGGCTTCACGCCATTTCTCCTTGTGTTCCCCCCCCCAGAGCCTGTTGAACTGTCGCAGGCTCTTTAGGAAGAGAGGAGCCATGGACTGCGATGACGAGGCCGAGAATCTGCAGTCCGGTCTGTGAGTAGCGGGGGAGTGTTGTGTCCTCGGGATAAGTTGCTTCATCTCCCGCTTCTGGGTCGGGTATGAAATTCGGTCCTACTCTTTCTGCTTCGTTGGTGTTGGCTGTTGCAGGTGTTACGTAACCATTGTCGGCGAAGTGATAGAAGACTTCGGCGTTGGCACTTTCGCGAGGATTTTCTTCGTCCATGGGGACGTTGACGGAGCAGAACGGGAGAGGTCCGGCTTCTTCAGATGCGTTGTCGACGTTCTGCTCGTCCCAGTCTGCTTCGTCTGCTGCTGAGGCGAATGCTCGGTCACCACGAAAGCCACCTGTGGGGTCCTGATTCTCGTGCAAGTTGGCGAGGTACGTCTGAAGGGTGAGGCGTTCGTAGAAGATCACATCACGTGCTGCTACTGTTCCTTTTGATTGGACGTCAAAGATTTTCCACGCGTTGTAATTCTTTTCGATGCCGAGGTATAGTCCCCACTGTGCGCGTTGTGAAAATCTTCCCGCTCGTGCCTCAGGGGGTCGGTACTGTACCATGCACCCAAAAACTCGTAACATTTTTGTGCTGCCCTGCTTCCCTGTCCACAGCAGATGCGGTGATGCGTTGTTCGGGAGTGAGGACGACGACATCAAGTTGTGCAGCATGACAGCGTGGTCCATTGCTGCAGGCCACTGGTGGTTGGGTAGCCGCATGCCACGTAACAGTTTGCGCATGCTGTTCTGCAGAGTCCTGTTCATTCGTTCTGCGACACCTTGCTGCTGATGGGCGTAGGGAAGGGAGAGGAGTTGCTTGATTCCTCTTTCCGCCAGGTACTGCTTGAAGCGCTGAGAGGTGTATTCTCCTCCTCCGTCTGACTGGAAGCTTTTCAGCTGTGCTCCCGACTCTCGTTCTGCTACTAGTAGCCAGGCGGCGAACGCTGCGAGTGCCATGTCGCGGCTTGGTAGGTTTAGATGCCAGACATATCGAGTGGCGGCGTCGATGAAGGTAATCGTATAGTTGTAGGTGACTTGTCCTGGTTCGCGATTGTAGAGGATGTCGCTGTACACCTTCTCGAGTGGTGCGTACGCCGGTGCGCTCGGGTTGTGATGAGGAGCGAACGGTCGATGTGGTAAGTCAGCTTCGGGGCAGGTAAGACAAGTCCCTCGTGCCTTTTGAAGTTCTCTGCCGTCGGGTAGTAGTAGGGAGTCTTTGTCGAGAACTCCTGCTCTTATCGTGTTGTTTAAGACTGTGTTGCTTGGATGTCCCAATCGTGCGTGCCAGGTTTCTTCGGAGGCGCGATGTCCGGGTGATCGTCGATACGTGTCGGAGTTGGAGTAGAAGCTGGCGACGAAGTTTGCGCTTCTGTGGGCTTCTCGTGGAGTTGGTTTCAACTGCTGTGCGGGTGTTGGTGGTTCTTCGTCGACGAGGGCTGGTGTCGTTGTTCCTGCTGCTGCTGCCGATGTTGTCTCTGCTGCTGCCGATGATGTCTCTGCTGCTGTCGTTGTTGTTTCTGCTGCTGCCGATGATGTCTCTGCTGCTGCCGACGATGTCTCTGCTGCTGTCGATGTTGTCTCTGCTGCTGTCGAGTGTTGTATTGTTGCTAATGCGCGTGTTCGTTCTGCTTCAGGGATAGTATGGGAGTACCAGAAGCCTTCCGGGCTGAAGTCTGGATCAAGATCTGGAGGATGCGTCCAGTCCGTGAAGTTAACAATAGTGTCGCTTTCTGCGGTGCCCAGGTCCGGGACGAAATCCAGGACGAAGACGTTGTTCTTCAGAACTGCCTTCCCGATGTAAAGGCCGCCTTTCCCGTGATATAATTTAAATTCCTGGGTGGTGCTGTCGGCTTCCAGGTGGATGCCCTTCGCCATCAACTGGCTGACGCTCAGTAAGTTGTAGCCGAGTCCTTCCGCTATTAGTACCTTTGACATGTGTAGTATAACATTAGTCTCCCTGGACTGAAGCTGTACCACTCCTTGTCGTCGTGTGCGCAGGTTCTGATTGTTGGCAACTGTGATGACGACCTCTCGTTGAAGTCGATGTTCGCGTTGGACGAAGCGTCCCGAAGAGCACATGTGTTGTGCGCAGCAACTGTCCAAGAACCAAGTATCTTTCCCGGATGGTTCACTTTGAGCAATGGCGGCGTACGTTGGATTCGGTTGAAGAGACTCGCGGCGAGGCGTGCTGTTGTCAAGTTGTTCTTCGGGTGAGTAGTACGGTGGTGACTCGGTTGTGCAGGAGTCGGTTATCTTTACCATGCAGTTGACGATATTCCTTGGTTTTTGCGCAGGTTGTCCTGTTGGAGTCGTTGAAGCTTGGACTGAAGTTGTTGGGGCTGCTTGCGTCGAGGTGACTTGGCCGCTCGAAGGTCGGAGTTGTCGCTGTGGTGCTGTCGATTGATGACGATACGGGCAGTGAGTGCGAGGATGTCCTGAAGTCTTGCAGATATGGCAAAAAGGAGGTACTGGCTTCGGTTGTTGTTGCTGTCGAGTGTTGCTATTGTTGTAGCGTCGCTGGGTGTGAAAGGCGAATTCTGGTACTGATGCCTTTTTCTTATGTCGTTCTTCTTGCAGGTCCATATCCTGCTGCTCGGCGTGGATTTCGGCGCAGAGTGCCGTTTCGGAGATTCTTCCGTGTGCTCGTAATATGGCGCGAGTGGAGCGCCAGTGAGGGCCGAGACCGCCGATGACGACCGTGACAAAGACGTCTTCTGAAATTGAACCTCCACATCGAAGGAGCCTGTCGCGCAGCTCGCGGCAGCGACTGATATACTCCATGCCTTTCTCGCCTGGCTTCATTTCGATTGTTGTCAGCTACGCCATTAACCGGCTTTGGTTTACACTGTCTGTTGCTTGATACAGGTTCTTCAGGTGGTTGTACGGGAGCTCCGCGGAGTTGCCGTAGCCTCGGTAAGGCCTGATGTTCTGCTGTTGGGTCGGGGTAATGTTCCTCAGTAGTATAGTGTACGCCATCATTGATTGATAAGTATACTGCTGCTTCTCATACTGTGTGCCGTTTGCTGGATATGGCAGGGACCCGTCGAAGAAGCCAAGGATTTGCGCTTCTTCCATCATCAGCTCGAATTCGAAAGACCAGGTGAAGAAGTCTTTTCCGTCAAAGGGCTTTGTCGTTTGCAGCTTTAAAACGTGCGCGAATTGCGACTGAACTTGTAATGCGTCCAGTGCTCTCTCTTGCCCCGGTGCAGGTTGTGGTTGCGGCATAAAGCTGACGGAGCCACGCTGGGGCTCGTACGGAGCAAAGGTGGGTTGTTGATGTTGATTCCCGCGCGCGTAGGATGAGCCATCGAGACTCATAGGCGTCACGTTGTTGTTGTTGTTGCTGTTGTTTGATTGCGCAGGTGCTCCTTGCTGGTGCTGCTCGTAGAAGGACATGAAGGAGAAAAATTTCTCCATCATGCTTGGATCGAAGCCCGCGCCTTGGTTTGCGGGTGTTTCCGTAGACCCAGCTGCTGGTCTCGTCGTTGTCCCCTCCTCTGTCAGTAGGCCAGAGGCAGGTGGTGGAGTAGGGGTAGTACCGGGAGAGCCGTTGGAGGAGCTCCTCTCCTTTCTAGCAGACATGTCTTCTTTGATGTACTGAGTGTTGAATAATGAATTTTAACTCTAACTGCTCTCATACCATGTTGGGCTGAAACGCCCGAGGATCTTTGTAGAGTTAAAGTCTGAGTAGATGTTGTAATAGCGGAAGCGTTGAATAAAGCTCTTGAACCACCTTGCGCTAGTATGTGAGGGCAAAGTAAGTTGATAAAGCAAAGAGATACAAGAATATAAATAGATGAGTACAGAGAATATGAAGAGACATTATAACTAATTTTACTGTTGCGGTTCGATACAGTGCGACTCGGGCAACTGCTCAATGTCGAGTCAGTTGTTTGTCCTTGCTGTCGCGCTGCGTCAGGTCAAAGGTCGCTGCCCTTTGACTTTCCCGTAACCTCCGACGGTTACGTTAACCTCGTTGGTTGACTCGCGCTGCTTCGACTTGAGCTGCTTCGTTTTGTGTCTTGAGTACTGACACGACAGAGGCGCTTAACTTATTTGTTCCCAACATCCGCCACCCGGGGGGAGGGAGGCCACGGTCCATCTCGACCGTCGAGGGCAAGGATCTGTCGGTGCCGCAGGAGCGCCTTGAAATTCATGGCCGCTAGGAGCAACTACCCGTTCTCCTGGCCGGCTCTTGCGCTGCTCCTGTCACCACGGCATCCTTCCCTGTCCCCCCCCTGAGGGGTATTACACTCTAAAAAACGGGGAAGCTAGGAAAGTTGCTCTGATACCAAGTGTTATGAGTTTTCCTAGACAGAGTGCGCGGAAGACTTCTATAAAGAGAATGAATTACAGAATTACTGAATGATCAAGAATGATAAAGGAGCACGCATTTTTAGGGTCGAAACCGTGCTAGGCGAGGACCTCGGGACGTGGATGGTTTAGATGTGTCGCGATTGGTGCGGGGCGACTCGGCATTGGTTCGGTGCGGAAATGTAGGCCGAGCCACCTGACGCGAAGTGCTCGGGCTGTACCCGTTAAGGCAAGGCTACAGTAAGGAATTGGCAAATTCCTTACACAGAGGGTGGTCCAGTTTTTCAGCTACTTTCCAGCTACCGTACTTAACCAAAACGCTCCATACAATCATACCCGTCAACAGAGTCTGAAAACAGTTTCACTACATAACAGAGAACGCTATGGAGGACACAAAAACGCTATGGAGAACGCTATGAACGCATTATCCTTCAACCCATTATCCTTCATGGCCTTCCCATCCAAACCCAACCCCAACCATCCCAGCCTACTCCATTCACCCTTGTTACACTCCACTCAGTCCCAAATCACGCATCCCATCCCACGCCACCCACTTACATCTGACTCCAATGCACTTCCTACCCAATGCTCCCACCTTCCTCTCCTTCCCCTCACTGCTCCCAGCTCCCCCACCTTCAACCAACTGTTCCCATCTCCCCTTTTTTCCCCGCTGCTCTTAGATCCCCCCATCTATCCCCCTCTGCTCTCAGATCCCCCCATCTATCCCCCGCTGCTCTCAGATTCCCCCATCTATCCCCCGCTGCTCTCAGATTCCCCCATCTATCCCCCGCTGCTCTCAGATCCCCCCATCTATCCCCCTCTGCTCTCAGATTCCCCCATCTATCCCCCGCTGCTCTCAGATTCCCCCATCTATCCCCCGCTGCTCTCAGATTCCCCCATCTATCCCCCTCTGCTCTCAGATTCCCCCATCTATCCCCCTCTGCTCTCAGATTCCCCCATCTATCCCCCGCTGCTCTCAGATTCCCCCATCTATCCCCCGCTGCTCTCAGATTCCCCCATCTATCCCCCTCTGCTCTCAGATTCCCCCATCTATCCCCCGCTGCTCTCAGATTCCCCCATCTATCCCCCGCTGCTCTCAGCTTGGGCTACTTCCCAGTGCTGCTCGCCCTTCTCTCTTGCACACCCCCCCTTCTCTTTCCACTGCTCCCAACTCTTTCTTCCATCCAGCCCCTCCAGCACCCGCAGCGGCTGCGCCGTGTGACTCGCTCCGCCATGCTGCTGTGCTCGCGCCTGGAAAGATGGCGGACGGACCAAGGGGCAACGGGATTCAACAGCAGCCGTGCTAAATCCAGAGGAGAGGGTCGCCTCAGGCTCAGCTGTCTCTGTGAGAGGAACACGCGCCTGCACTCATCGAAGGACAGCCCACCAACGTAAGAGCAGCAGATAGCGACTGGCGGTGAGATCCCACACAAAAGTGCTGCTGCTGCTGCTGCTGCTGCTGCTGCTGCTGCTGCTGCTGCTGCTGCTGCTGCTGCTGCTGCTGCTGCTGCTGCTGCTGCTGCTGCTGCTGCTGCTGCTGCTGCTGCTGCTGCTGCTGCTGCTCCTCCTCATCCTCCTCCTCCTCCTCCTCCTCCTCCTCCTCCTCCTCCTCCTCCTCCTCCTCCTCCTCCTCCTCCTCCTCCTCCTCCTCCTCCTGCTACTGCTGTAGCGCCTGACTTTGCAGAAATATATGCCTTGGGGGAGCAGAGCAGTGCCGCCTGAGACGGGAGAACCCCAGATGCGCTGGTGAAAGCGGTGAAGGGACCTATTGCAACAACAAAGAAGTGGGTGAAACAGAAACGGTTCAGCATTGTTACCTGAAAGCGTTTGCGCCGCATGCAGGGTTACCGTCTGAGAAAGATCTAACGGTTACAGCACGACTTGCTGTTCCTCCCCAGCTCGCCCCACTGCTTCGTGCCGCACTGCAGCACGTGGCGCGGCAGCACCGCGTCCTCCTCCCCATTCAACGTGAAGCGGAAGCAATGAAAGCGTTGAGAATGGCTCGAATCCAATTCTCTGCAGAACAGGGGGACCGCACGTTCGGTACAGGGTCACACAAGAAGCAGATCTCATGCGAGGCTGTTGCCTCGCATCACCGGACGGCCCATCCTTCAACCCTCAGAAGAGATTGCTAACGGAAACCCGCCAGCCTGGCACGTTCCGAATGGAGCGTAAGATTGAAGAGCAAGAACGGAGCGGAAGCAGAACTCAAGGCCGATGATAAGGTGGTAGCACGAACCCTAGTGTTGTTGCTATAACGCCCCGCTAGACCCCCGAGCCAACACGGGGGTTGTTCAGAGGCGCAGCGGTGACCTGTTGAACCCTTGTGTAGGGTCGCAGGCGCTACATCCCCGGTGGCTCCTATCCTTCCTATGACACACGGCACACTCACCCGACCGCGGCGATGAACAGACTCGATGCGAACCCCGACTCGACTCCCACCACGATTGGCAATGATGGCCGGGTCCGACTCGGAATGAACGTCAACTTTCACGAGAGTCCGTCCGCACCCATGCGGAGCAGTGGGCTGCACACCTTCGCCTCGAGAGTTAATTCATCCGACTCGGTGTAAGCTGGGGTGAACGGCCCGCGTCCTGATTGACACATCGGAGCTGACGCGATCCTGCTGCCAGTACTCGGTCACGCGCGGTTATGACCAACGGGATGCAATGGCTGTCATGATTGCGGCCCTTCGCAGCGTGCTGAGTCATGGATCCAGATAAGGACAAAAAAATCAAGATGCAGAGCGAGTGAGAGCCGACGCGGTGAAACGCGGAGCTGAGGAGCATTGATGCCATGGTAGAATTCAAGAGTGACTTTAAATCGGACGGTGAGCGACTCGAGCGGAAGGTTTTGTGAGCGGATCGAGCAGCCAGCCCTCCTCGCCTACCCTACCACAACCAATTTCTCCACTGAACTGTGAAGGGAGGCTAAAATCGGGGATGTGAAGCGAGAAATAGGAATCGTTACACTCGAAAATATACAGAATACACAATCCTACGAATTGTCAGTTGAGCTCCACAATTCTGTGTGACAACAGAGCAGCATGGCTTCTATTAAGCTCGGTGAAATCTCAGGATCGTGGTCAGAAAGACCCTTAAGACTCTGGATAAGTATATCTTGGGATGGAGACATCCCACTATCAAGCATGGCAGTACCTGGGAAATTAAACGATTCATGCGTTTCCTTGATGTGGTCAACCATGGCCCCATTCCAGTTATTTCCAAACTTCAACTCGGTTGTTCCTCCAAGCGCGTGAAAATTATCCAAGGCGTGGACATCCGAGTTGAGCCCATGGCCAACTGTGGCATGCAAGGCAGCCCCACCACCTTCCAGAGCATTGGCTATGTCAGGCCGACGTAACGCCAGGTTCTTGAGAGCTGGTAAAGCACCGGTGGCCAAGGGCTCCTGCAGCAAGGCATGGTGGGGCTGCATGGGAGCTTGCGTGTGCAAGCCCCTTGGGTTCGAGGGCGTGGACAGTGCACCGGTGAAGCCGGGGGCCCCTGGTTGGTGAGAAAGGGCTGACCGTAGGGGCGCCTGGAACAGTGGCTGTGACTGAGGCTGTGACTGTGGCTGTGACAGTGGCTGTGACAGTGGCTGTGGCTGGGACAGAGGCTGTGGCTGTGGCAGGGGTTGTGGCAGCGGCTGTAGGTGCCCATGACCCCGGTGCGCTTGAGCACCTCCCTCCCTGCTGTTTCGCTGCTCCAACGCCCACTCTGCCAGCGCTACCCCACCACCAGCTGTGCCTGGCAGCACCCGTCCCTGGGGCCCACCCGCCCAGGGCACACGGCAGGGCTGCCAGTGTGGTAACTGGGGGACAGTAGGGGCGTGTCCAGGCAGCAACAGGGGATCCAGGGGCGTGTCGAAAAAAAGAGCAACATTATCATGCGCCACGCTGCACGTGTCCAGCTCTGGTTGGGTGCAACTACTCACAACGAGCGTCCCTCCAGTGCTGCTGCCCATCCGCCCAGGGACGGAACCAGCCAGCGCAGCGGTGGGCAGCGGCACTGGCATTGGTGCATGCGGTGCGGTGAAGCCAGCATCGAGGCTGCTGACCCCCAGCAGCACATCATCTGGAAGGGCGCTCTCCCACTCCATACGTGGCCACAGGGCTGATTGCACTCGCCTCCTCCCTTCTCCTTCGTGCATCTGCTGATGCTCCTCCAGCAGCAGAGCATCCACAAGGGCTCCCTCCTCGTCCTGCACGCGGCTGCTCGCCCCCTGCTGCTGGAACTGCTCTGCCACCGACTGAGCCTGCCAATTCCTGCTGCGCACCACCCCGCTCTCACCTCCACCTCCACCCAGCCCCACTTGGTCTGCCCCAAGCCCAGGGCAATCCTCTCTTGCTCGCTTCACTGGGAGGCTCAGAACAGTGGCATTGGAGGCAGCAGCAACGGGGAAGGAGGCATCACATGGGAACGGAAAATCAGAGGCAGTGGAAGAAGCGGAGAAGGTGGCGGCTTGGGAAGCAGGGGCGGGGCTGACTGCAGATGAGGGGTACGCTGGAGCTGCTGGGTGGCAGCAGGAGGCATTGGGTGAGAGGAAGACGATGCTGCACTCGTCAAACGACAGCCCACCGAATGCCAGAGCAGTTGAACCAATGCCATCCGAATGCTGCTGCTGCTGCTGCTGCTTGCCATCCAGACAGGGCAACAGTTGATCGAGGCCCTTTACGGGAACGTTTCCGGGGAATTCAGCATCTTCCAGGTGCTTTCTCAGAAGATTCTGCTGAAAGTGCTGAGTGAACTTCCTGCCGTCAAGACACGGCCACAGGGGAGAAGCTCAGAAAAAGGCGCAGGCGTGTTTGAAAGGCTCAGGCGAGGGGTGCGCGTTGACGGGCTCAGTGGGTTTCGAAAATGACTGTGACAAGCAGGGTTACCTTCTAAGAAAGATGTAACGGTTACAGCACGACTTGTTGCTCCTCTTGAGCTGACCCCTCCTCTTCAGCTCTCTCCACCGCTTCGTCCCAAAATGCAGCGCATGGTGCAGCAGAACCGCGTCCTCCTGCACGGATCAACACGGATCTCGTGGCCAATGATTGACCTATCTTTCGGCACGTCTCAGAAGGAACACGGTGAAGGAGCGTGACTCAAGGCCCACTGACCCGGCTGAAGGGATTCTGAAGAGTGTCTTGGGCCACAGTGAGCGCCGTGTCTTGACGCACAAATGTATTCACACCAACATGGCTAGCAAGGCTTTCAAGAATCAATATTTTGATTCACTCTCCTTTTTCAGGCTGGAAATCGGGTGGATCTTAAGAGCGTCTCCAGTGCAGAACTCACGCCTACCTCTCTGGATTCACACCCACCTCTCTGGATCCACCTCTCAGCACTCACCTCTGGGGACCAGGGCTGTATGGCGAGCGACGAGGATTGGGATGAAGGCGAAGTAGTCGCTTCAGAGGAATGCGACATGGCAGCGAGGCTGGGGTTTAAAAATCAGTACTTCTAGGCAGCTGATGTTGCTACCCTAACAGATCATGGTAGTTCTAGTGGAAGCTGATGTCCGTCATGAATGATCACAGTTCTAGCCACCCTACACTTCTGCAGATTTTGACGTGACAGAGGGGAACACAGGTGCATGCACCGCTCAAGAACTTGGCTCGTCCTCCGGCGGACAGGGTTTCACCTCTGCGGCATCAGGGGAAGTGCCATGGAATGCCGCGCTTTTAGCCGCGCAGTGGGAGACCCGCCCTGCTGGAGGCCCCGCCAGGCCAAGCCCCACCCGCGCAGGTGCACGGGAGGCTGGAAGTCCAGTGGCAGGCATTCTGAGCTGTACAAACGACGCATGAGACTGTGGGACTACTCCAATCTAAGCTGACGTGTGGAGAGGGCACGGAACGAACGCTATCATTGCTACTAATATCCCGTGCCAGGAATGCTCCACTGAGGAATCTTGTAAATCGAATGTATTCGGATCTCACGAATTTGGCGCGTCATGCGAGTACACACGTATCAGGAGGCACGTGAAGCCGGACCTTTTCCAGCCATGGAAACTGCTTGCGTTTCAAGATGCCTATTCGCGCTGTGTAAGCGGCTCCATCCTCTGAAGCTTCCACATCCAAACAAGGAATGCACATCTGCGAAGCTGTGCGTGCGGCCAACGCGTCCGTACATCTGCTGAGGAGTGCCAGGCGCAGAGCAATGCACTCTATTCAGTGGGTTGTATACCCTCCCCAGGGTGTACAGACGGAAATGCCCTGGAGCACGCAGGTGGTGGTGAGCAAGGGAGCCTAGTCGTTGAAAATATCATTATGTGAAACACGCGTGGGTGTACACACGTGTGTGCATTATTTCCAGTTTGGACTATGTCAAGCTTCTGAACATTGGTCAATGGTCAGTACAGTTTCCCCACAAATGCAACTGCGGTAATTTATACAAGCATACCAGACACATCACACAGCAGTTGTGTAGACCACATACATTTCTTCTCACTCACATCGTTATTGCCAAGACACCTTTCAAACAAGTCCATTCACATCCCAAATTTCACAAAATTCGCAGTGATAATCACATGCCTTAGTTCGCTGCGAAGCCTGACTGTGCACCACTGCTCCCTTCTGTGCATGTTCGCACTGGTAGTGCTTGCTCCTACTCATGTTTGTCCAACCCTGACTAGCATGTGCTCCAGTGGTCGCGAGTGTGCTTGTACCGTAAGTCCACCATCCTGCTGCCAAGCATGCCTGCCTTACCCTTCTCTTGTTTCCCCTACCAAGCGTGGCAGTTACAGCGCAATCAAAACCAGCAGGAAGTCGGGCGTCACTGGCTGTGATCTTCCCCGTGCTGCAGTCTGCTAATCCTTGCTAACCCTCTGGCAGCACTTCTAGTGACAAGCCGCTGGGCACACCAAGTCCAGGAGGAAGAAGCACAGGCGGACGCAATGTGCTCTGCACTCCTTGGTCACGTGGATGGACCAGGAATGAGGTTTGGAGGGGTGGAGAGAGATGGAGGGCGAGGGGGAGGGAGGAGAAAATAACAGAGCCGTTTGTACTTGGAACCGTCGCAGCGCATATGAGAAGCACCCCTCCATCCGTTTCCCCTCCTTGCATCTCCCTTCAGGGACGCCTCCTTCAACCCATCACCCACCGGCAGTCCCCTTTCCATCCCCCCCTCGCCCTTGCCATGCTGACCTGTCTGTCAGCAGCGGCTGGCCTCACAGCGCCCAGCAATGAGGGCGAAGATCCCCCCTGCAACCAGATTTGGGGAAATGGGTAACAGAGTCAGAACACCGTGTACCTCCATGTGGCCCTCAACCCAGTCACAACACCTCCCATACTAACCCCGATCAACGCGTCCCATCCCATACCATCCCGACCCACCGTGTTCCAACCCCCTTCCACCCCATCCTCCCACTCCTTTTTATCCCATTATTCCATCCCACCGCACACCACCTACACTCATCTCGTCAACTGCATCTGGTACCAATGTGTCTCCTTCCCGCTGCTCTCAGCTCACCTCCCCCACTCTCCCTGGCATGCTGCCAGGCTCCGACCTGAGGGGATGGCGGAGGGGCTGAACAACGACAAACGGTAAGACAGGAAAAGGGGAGACAGGAATGGGGAGAAAGGGAGAGGGAGGCAGGGAGAGGGAGACAGAGAGGAGGAGACAAGGAGGGGGAGACAGGGAGGGGGAGACAGGGAGGGGGAGACAGGGAGGGGGAGACAGGGAGGGAGATACAAATAGGTTGAAGGACAATGAGGATGGTTGACATGAACGGGGTTTGGCAGAGGAGGGAAAGCAAAGAAAGGACGGAGAAGGAGAGAGATGGGCGAGGTGAAGGAGAGAGATGGGCGAGGTGAAGGAGAGAGATGGGCGAGGTGAAGGAGGAGGCGCCAAAGTGCTGTTAGATCAGAAGTGCCATTGTGCCATTCAATGTGCAAAGCTCAAAACGACCCTGCTGCGGCCAGTGTCGTCATGTCGTCTCCTGATTCGACACATGCGACCCGGCGGATCTGAGGCTGACGCTGCTTCGGGCAGTGACCGTCACGCAAGGGTGAGATCACGCGGGTGTGAGGTCACGTGGGTGTGAAGTCACGTGGGTGTGAGGTCACGGGTGTTTCGGGTCAATATATGGATAAGGATGTAGTGACGCAGAACGTGCGAGAGCCAACCGCGCGAAACGCGGAGCTGCGATCAGCGACGCTATGGCTAAGCAGTGGCGTTGGATCAGTGCGTCAAGTCGGCTGCAGTGCCGTCTGTTTCACGAGTCGACGACAACGTGAGAAGAATCGAACTGTCAGGTCCTGACGGACGGCGCGCGACTTGCGATCGTGTTTCTAGGTTGTCCAAAAGGTGGAGGAAGGAGGTGTTATTGTTATATCTTGTTCTCCATTATTTCACACCCCTTTATCTCACACCCCGGGGTACTTACCCTACCCCTATCGGTTTCGTAGGGTAGTTACCAACGTCTAGGAAAACCGCGGAGGAGGGTCCGACGTGCTGCGATCAGAAGTTGATCGTGGCCTAGGATCTACTCAGGAAGGTTCGCACGCAGAGAAGTGATGTTGGTGGGCCCTTGACCTCAATAGCAGAGTGAATGTAAAATGCTTTGAGATGATTAACATGTGCAGTACAAGGAATATAAATATGAGTACAGGGGAATTCGAAACGACCTAACTAGCCATGTACTCTAAGGGGTACATTCCCTTATTGCAGCGAAATCCAACCGTGCGACTCCGAGTGGTTACGTAACTGTTCGGGCAGAATCCTCGCCACTGCTGCTGCCTGATGCTGTCTGCCCGACGGTCCAGATGCTCCTCGTAACCGTCTGTCCCTTCGCCTTTCTTCTGCCTTTTCGTCTTCACTCTCGGTAGTGCGTGCTTCGGCTTTGCTACGGTGAGGAGTGCACAGTAATATTCAAGTATCACTATTCGTAACACCCCCCTTCACTCCTGGCCGTAGCTCGACTTGACCTGCTTGACCACGCCGCTGAATTCGGAGCAGTGCTGGTACTGCTGACGCGGCAGTCTCTTCGTGAGGAAGTCTGCTGCCATGTCACCCGTTGGGCAGTATGTCAGGTCAACTTTGAGGAAGTTAGAACGAGAATGAAATGACTATGAACGAAGTAAGTACAAATAGGAAACCCTAGTTGGGTTGTACCCCCTATGGGATACCCCACTATAGCCTACACAAATAAGCAAGCTATAATATTCTGACACACCCCCATAGGCAAAGTGGGGGAGAACAAGGGGTCACAAGACCAGTCAAGTAAAGCAAAGCAAAGCTCAGGGTGGATCACAAAGTCACCACACATTCCGAGCACAAGTTCAAGGGCCACAAGGCCAGTTCACATGCAAGAGCATATATAGAGATATACAAGAGTCAAGCAAGAAAGAACAAGAGTATATATAGGTCAAGGTACAAGCAAGGTCAAGAAGTGAGCAAGTGAGCCAAGACAGGCACAAGACCCAGCTGCGTGCAGCAACGCTGATGATCACAAGGCGCAAGTGCCTTGGTGAAGACATCAGCAGTGTTGGCCTCAGAGGCCACGTACGCAAGTCGCAACTGTCCACGCTGCTGTAGCTCACGAGCAAGAAAGTAGCGGAGAGCAATGTGCTTTGTCCTGTGCTCCAGTCGCTGCTCTCGACACAAGGCCAGCATGGCCTTGTTGTCTACGTACAGGACTGGAGGAGAACGAGGCGGCTCTCCAAGGCCGGTCAGCAGGTAGGTGAGCCAGCGAAGCTCCTGAGCAGCCATAGCCCCGGCGTAGATCTCAGCCTCACAACTGGAGCCAAGAACAGAAGACGAGCGGGTAGCCCGCCACAAAACAGAGCCGGAACCAAGGCTGAAGGTGTAACTCTGTGACGACCGCTGCGTAGCCTGGTCGTCAGCCCAAGAAGCGTCCGCGTGCCCAGTGAGTACCACTGGACTGCGCCCTCCAAGCACTAGCCCCAGAGAGTTTCGGCTCGGACTTTCCTGTTCTGCGTCTGCACTCTGACAGAGGCGGGGAGTTTTCCTCTGCCCGTCTGGGAGCCTTCTGTCGTGCACAGGGCATCCGCCAGACCTTCACGCTTCTGGCCTCTCCACAGCAAAATGGGATCGCTGAGCGCCGCATTGGCATGGTCATGGACGTCGCTCGTACGTCCATGATCCATGCGGCTGCCCCCCATTTTCTGTGGCCGTTTGCGGTTCAGTACGCAGCGCATCAGCTCAACCTTCAGCCCCGGGTCTCCTTACCAGAGACCTCCCGCACCTTGCGGTGGACGGGGAAGGTTGGCGATGCGTCTGCGTTTCGTGTCTGGGGATCTCGGGCGTTTGTCCGCGACTTGTCTGCGGACAAGCTGTCCCCCCGTGCTGTTCCCTGCGTCTTCCTTGGCTTCCCCCCTGACGCGCCTGGGTGGCAGTTTTACCACCCCACCTCTCGCCGTGTTCTGTCCTCCCAGGACGTCACCTTTGACGAGTCGGTGCCTTACTACAGTCTCTTCCCCTACCGCACTGCGCCCCTCCCCCCGCCGCCGCTCTTCCTTGCGCCAGGTCCTCCCCCGGTAGACCCCCTCCCCCCTCAGGGTCCTGCCCCGTCAGGTGTGTCCCAGGTTGACGCAGTCGAGCCTGTCAAGGTAGCTGTTGACTCTGGTGCTGCTAGAGGTACTGAGCCTGCGGGTGCCGGGTCTGGAGGTGCTGAGCCTGGGGGTGCGGAGCCTGGGGGTGCTGAGTCCGGGGGTGCGGAGCCTGGGGGTGCTGAGTCTGGGGGTGCTGAGCCTGGGGGTGCGGAGCTTGGGGGTGCTGGGTCTGCTCGTGCGGCCTCTCGCGGTGCTTCGTCGAGGAGGG